CGGGCTGGCCCCACGGGGCCACACGGCACTGCGCAAACCTGGAGTCGGGGCGGCCACTTGAGCCACATCCACACTGCCAAGCTGTGGGACTCGGGCTTGGAGCCGTTCTCCAGAGCCGGGTCCTGAACACTCGCTGAGCCGGGCGCGGACACAAAGGGGGTGGGGGCTCAAACCTGAGTCAGAGCGCACGGTGCCCACACCCCTCGTGATCACAGGGGCTGCGTGGAGGTGACGTGGTCCCAAGCCCCACCCCACACACTGGGACCAGGCTCCTGCTGCTCAGGCCCCGCTCGTGCTAATTAGAAGCATAGAGCTGGAAGAGACCTCAGGAGTCATCCAATCCAGCCCCCTGCCCAAGGCAGGACCAATCCCAACTCAATCATCCCAGCCAGGGCTGTGTCAAGCCGGGACTTAAACATCTCTAGGGACGGAGATTCCCCCCCTCCCTCGGGAACCCAGCCCAGCGCCTCCCCACCCGCCTAGTGGAAGAGTTTTTCCTAACGTCCCCGCTGCAACTTGAGCCCATTGCTCCTTGTTCTGCCACCACTGAGAACAGCCTCTCTCCATCCTCTTTGGAACCCCCCTTCAGGGAGTTGCAGGCTGCTCTCAAATCCCCCCTCGCTCTTCCCTTCTGCAGACTAAACAAACCCAACTCCCTCAGCCTCTCCTCGTAGGTCATGTGTTCCAGCCCCCTAAGCATTTTGGTCGCCCTCCGCTGGACCCTCTCCAATGCGTCCACATCCTTTTTATAATGGGGGGCCCAGAATTTCTCGTTTGTATTCCAGGCCAGAAGCTGCTACCAGTGGGGCACGAGGGGCGGTGGGAGGCTGACTAATGAAGACTGGATGTTGGCCTGGTCCTCGAATGGCTGCTGCCAGCATGAAATGGTTTACTTCAACAGGCTGGGGCAAGCCCTCAGCCCCGCCCCTTCCGATGAGGCCCCGGCCCCCCAGGGGAACCCAGCCGCCTCTCCACCGCAAGCCATGCATCCCACCACCACCACGGGGAGGAGAGGGTGGGCAGCACGTGTCCCCCAGCCCTATGGTAGGCGTCCTGGGGGCGGCGTATGGGTGGGGCCAAGCTGGCGGTTTGTTCCCCCACCTAGCGGACCCCTGCCCACGTCAGTGGGGGCTGTGAGGAAACCCACAGAAAGAACAACGAGGAGTCCGGGGGCGTCTCAGAGACGGGCAGATTTATCTGGACATAAGCGTTCGTGGGCGAAACCCACCTCGTCGGATGCACCGAATAAACCCGCCGGGCTTTCAGGGCCCCAGGACTCCGCGTTGCTTTTGCGGACAGACTAACAGGGCTCCCCTTCTGAGCCTTGCCGCCCAGGAAGGAAACAGGACAGCCCCGGCCCCTGCACCCATGGGAGGGCCGGGGGAAGAGAGCCACCCCGCACAGACTGGGGAGTTAACCCCCCTCGTGAAACGCTTTGCTCCCACTGGGTCTGTAAGCAGGAGGCCCGCTCACCGTAGCCACAGGCAGGGCTGCCAAACCGCACCAGACTGGATGGGCAAGCCCGGTCCATACACCAGGCACCAGGGCCCGGTCCAAGAGCAGGAGAACGGCTGGATTCCCCCAGCGGGGAGGGAACAGGCCCATACACGAGGGGAGCACCCAGAGACCGCAAAGGAAACGGGCGCCGCCCCCTGCGCCCACGACACGCAGCACCTTCCACCACGGACTGGACGGGCATTTCAGGCAGGGCCCTAGGATTTCAGGCAAGCGCCCTCCCGCCCGGCTGTCACAGCTGCCAGGCAACCAAGCTGAGCCCCCAAGCTGAAACGGGATTCAAACCTGGGGCCAGAGCAGGAGCCTGGGGGATTTTGCAGCCCCGGCTAGTCAGCCCCAGAGCAGGCCAGCAGGGAAGATGGCACAGAGCGGGCGGCTTCCCGCAACCCTCTCCCCACGGCTAACCCCGGCGCCGGTTCTTGGAGGGACGCCGGCTAAGCAGGCTACAGATTCCAGCTCCGGGCGGGGGGAGCACAAGCCCCGGCCCCGGCGCCCGCAGCTCACCTTGTCGAGGGTCTTCTTGAGGGCCACGTTGTCCTTCCCCAGCCGCAGGGAGGAGCGCTCCGCCGCCCGCTTCTCGCTCTCCAGCTGGGCCAGCGCCCGCTGCAAGCTGCCCAGCCGCTCCTGCAGCAGGCGCTTGTCGTCCTGCAGCTTCTGCAGGCTCCGCAGGGCCGCGCCCTCGCTCTCCTGGCACTGCCGCAGCAGCTGGGCAGGAGGGGGGGAGAGCCGAGGTGGAGCGCAGCATCCCGGGGCAGGGGAGATCGCCACCGTGCGCCGGATTGGCCCGGCGGCCTAGTGGTTAGTGAGCAGTACTTCCGGGGGGGGAGGCCTGCACCGGGGCCTCTTGCTCTGTGGTGGGTGAAGGCAGCAGGAGGAGGTAGGGGGCAGCGATCCTGCCAGCACCCTGGCTTGCCCCATGGAAGGGCTGATGAGACACCCTGGGGAGCATATTCCCTCCCGGTCTGAACTCCCGGAAGGCAGGAGGCCGCCAGCAGAAGAGGCCGGGGGGGACTTTGCACAACAGAGGAGCTGGGCGGGGTGGGGGGAGGCGGCGGGAGGAAAGGGCCCAGCA